TTTTTGATATCTTTCAAAAGAAATGAGATATATAGGCTCAAAGTGGACGATCCGGGTGTCGTTCTATTAGAGGTTTTACGGTAATTGACCACTTTTTCATATCTGTCACAGAATTTGAGATCAACTATCTCAAAAGTTAGATACACTCACATTTCCGAAATCTCATCCAAATCCGCGGTTGTCGAATTCTGAAACGTTCCCAACAGCTCCAGAGACATATTTTTGAAGGCGTCTTTAATTTTCAGAATCTTTATTAAATCATTCTTCTGATTCCTGTAGTTTTCAACAGTTTTATCCGTTTTAGATCTCCATCTGAAGTGTTCAATTGTTCTGCTTATATTCGATTCGACAGTCTGGAAACTCAACGGACAACTATCTACTGATGGTTGTGCACTGACTGGAGCGTGTGGATTCGAACCCGCTGGCGGAGGAACTCCTGGAATTGAAAAAAAAGTTTAGCTTAGTGATAAAAATCGTCTTTTGCTTATCTAATCGGGACCGCGTAGCTGCGCACGGACGCGGCCGTTTCTTGAAGGATTCTGAACTTTGAGCCCTCATATCTTAATGCCTGTAAAAGCTATCAAAAAGTGGTCAACTGATAAAATGTTTATCATAATATCAAAAACAATTTATTAGTTGACAACTTTTTGATATATTTCACAGCAATCAAGATAAATATATCTCACAGCAATCTAGATAAAAGTGGAAAGTAGCATACCTTGTCTCTCAACTGGATCGCCTGGCATCCTATTATTTTTTATCAGCTCGCAAACTTTTTCATGAGCCATCCGAATTGTATTTTTGTTGTTGAACAGCACGCGGAGGAAGTCGTTGAGATCATCCGAATTATTATTGAGGAATGGATGCTCCATTTTTTTGGAACTGAAAATTTCCAATTTTGGAACTAAAGTTACAGGTTTCGGAGTGACAGAAAAGGCAAAAAAATAAGAAGAAGAATGATTGAAAACAAAAGTAAATGAGTAAAATGAGAAGAATAAACAGAAAAGTGGCGGACAAGCATAAGATGGTAGATCAAAATTTGGAAGATCAAAATTAATTATAAACTTTATAAAAGGTTTTTCAAAAAACCTTTCTTAAAATAAAATTTTTAAAAAACTACCGCTTTGCTTGTAGATCAATAGACCCGCTACCTGCCGAGCTAGCAGACATGGTTACTGTAACTCCATTTATCTCCTTTGTTATCGAAGATATCAAAAAGTTGTCCACTGATAAAATACTACTGATAATATGATAAACATTTTGTCAGTTGGTATCTTTTTGATATCTCTTACAGGAAGAGAGATATATTGGCTCATAGTTGAAAGGCCGGCGTTTGCCGGCTGAGCTACGAGGTCGGCTGCAGACCTTTTAACTTTAAATCAATTCATCTCGCAAGCTCTGAAAGATATCAAAAAGTGGTCAACTAACAAAATGTTACTGATGACATGATAAACATTTTATCATTTAATCACTTTTTGATATCTCTTACAAGAAGCTAGATAAATTAAATCGAATTTCTGTGGGCATTTGTTGTAATTTTTCGAGTTATCAACAAAAAAACAATCAAAAACTTTTTTATTATCTCTTTCCCATACAATTTTCAAAAAACGTTTTTTCAGCCGAATATGCATTGAACAAGTGTCCCAATTCCAAATCTTCCTGCATTTTTTGACTGGCTTTCTGCAAATTAATGTTTTTTTTTTCGTCAAATTTTCAGTTTTGTCCCTACCTGCACACTAGGAATAATCGATAAAATATTGGCCATTCTCAATGCAAAATCCTCGGTTTTTCTCATTGTCGAATAATGATAGATCATTTCTTTTTGTACCGTATTCCGGACTTTTCGACATAGTTCAATGCAACTGTCGCTTTGGCCTTCAAGACCTGGAATTTTCCTTTTATGAAGGGAAATAGTGAATTTCGAAGTCCTACAAAAGGGGTCCCAATTCTTTTAATTTTTTTGAAAATTTCAGAGCATACTAAACAGAACTAGTGCTTCAATTTTAGAGTTGACATCTTTTTTCTAACTACCGTATTTTTTTAGATATGCGCCTTGGGACAGAGCGTGCTTGACAAACGTTTTGGATTAAAGGCGCATATCTCAAAAACTACGGTAGCTAGAGAAAAGTTGTCAGCTACAAAATTGAAGCGCTACTTTTGTTCAGCATACTCTAAAATTTTCAGATAAATTGAAAAATTCTAGACTACTTTCGTAGGACTTTAAAGTTACCTGTATCAAAAAGAATAAGAGCTGCTAATGCCAAAAATTCAAATTGGGTCACATTTTCCCTTAACATTGGTATCAGAACATTCCGTTTACATCCGGTACATGTGCCTTTGAATAGTCTGAAAATCGTCATTTATTGCAAATGCGCTCCATCGCTAAAAACTTACTTCGCCGCGTCTGCCGATGTCATAGGCTGCATATTATTTTCATCATGGTAGAAGCTCTCCAAGTTGTGGCAATTTATAAAATTTCCATTCGGCAAAAACCAAATATCGACTCTGGATTTTTGACAGGCAAAGAAGCCAGCTTCCAGGTTGTAGAATGTGAGATAGAAGTTGCGAAGAAGGATGTCCTGGAATTTTTGAGATTCTGTGGTTCTGATAGAGTAAACATATTAATAAATCAGAAATATTCAGAAGAAAAATGATTTTCTGAAACAGGAAACTTTTCTGAGATTCTGGAATTCTGAATGTTTTTTTTTCATTTTAATGCAAATTTTCCGTTTCAAAACTTCGTAATTTTTTCAAATTTTGATTTTGATGATGTTTCGAGTAATGCCATTGCATTTTTCTTCACATTTCTGAAACTCTATAATTCCCAGAATTTTGGACTTTTCCGGAATTGAGGAATTCCTCAGTTCTAATATATTTTCGAAATTTGGAATTTCTGGAAGATTATGACATTCTGACATTCTGAATCCTTTTTTTTTCATGAAATTCTTCCGTTCCAGAACTTCATTATTTTTCGAACATTTTGGTGGTGTTCAGTTCAGTAATTCAAAATTTTGAAAATCGAAGTAATTCAAAAATTCCAAAAAATTCAGGAATTCGGAAACCTCACAATCAGGCACTCGAAAGTCCGGAAATTCTAGAAATTCAGAAATTTAGTAGTAATTTTTAAAGATATTTTACACAAAAAAAATGTAAATACTGAAATTTGGAAATTCTGGAATTCTGATACTCAGAAATTTTTTCATTTCTAAAAATGACTACCGAGTCTTATCGTCTTTCGAAACTCGAATTCAAGTAATATCTGTAATTGCTTCCCCACTCATTATTGATTACCCTAATTACCAAAAAAAAATCCCCAAAAAATGTGTTATTCTTATCGCCATCCTATGGTTAATTTCGACTGTTGTTCCATGATTTTTGGAATTTTGGATGTGATTGTACAGCCGATATCTAAATAGGATGATTAAAGTAAAATTAATTGATAAAAGTTTTTCTAGAATGTTCTAACCTACGAAATTGCACTTTTCATGGTGGCTAATATGAACCTGAATTCTACATGTATCGTTTTGAAAAACTTTAGATACGTTATGTGGAAGTTTTGGAATAGTATTTTATAGAACCGCAATTAATTTTGTTCATCGGTTTTTTGCTTTGGAAAGGTAAGATTCTGAGATTCTGAATGATTTTGATATCCACTTTCTGACGATAAAAACTCCAAAATTTCTGTTTCAGAGAGTTTTCAAAAATTAATTTTTTAAGAGGTTGATATTCTGTTTTTTGATTGCCAAATTTCTTATATCGGTTCAGTAGCAGCTCTCTTACCTTTTGACTAGTTGGCAATTCCGTAAAGTGTGGAAACGAATTTGAAATCCAATCAGCAACCAAATAAAACTCCCTCAAAAGCAGCCGATAAGTCTCCTTGTAACTTTGTCCCCGAGGTGCTGGTTTCTAAATGTTTCCTCTTTTTTTTTCAGCTTTCCAGAAACTTCCCCATACCAAAAACATGCTACCTCCTTCCATAGCATGCACAACTACTCTCACATTTTGTAATTGTGAATAATTTTGCTTGATTGTTGAGATAATTGTAGTTGGAATTGGATACTGTAGTTTTGACGACGTTGATGGAGAGGGTAAGATCGATTTTTGGGGATTTCGACGGCCATAAATGTCGCGGTGGTTTTGGATGGCTGAAAAATTGGGAAAATCTGAAAAGGTACAATAAATGATTCTTACATTCTTTTTTCATTCCAACTTTGAGGCATTTCTCGAATCGACACTTTTTGCACAACAGGGATTCTGCTGAAAATAACGAGACGATTCTAGTATGTTTGGTTGGGAGAAGGTCAGTTATGAATTGAATCACTGCTACCGTTCAATATTTTGAAAATGAATAAATTGAAAGAAATATAAATTTTAGAAAATCCTGTTTCAAAAATGTCTTTTTTTTTCGTTGGATTATAATTTTTTAATTCTTGGTCTTTTTCCAACACTCACAATTCTCAATATCACAAGACTCATCCTCACTGCACTTGTACTGTCTTTTATTTACAACGGTTCGGCGGAAAAATGATGTGCATCCTCTGAAAATTGGGATAACGTGAGACAGATTTTTCAACAAAAGTTTTTCTGAAACAAACAAACTCAAATTTTTTTCAAAAATTTTTCAGATTTCTCAAATTAGTTCTAGTTTTCGAACTTTTCTTTTAATTTAAGATTTTTTCTATTTTTTACACTTTCAGTATTTCAATAAATAACCTAATTTTATTTTCGTTGATTTTTCACAATTTATGAATTTTAAAGCTTTTTCACAATATTTTTTAGCAAAATCTTGGTTTTCACATATTTTTAAAGCATTTTTTTGTTTTTCAGTTTCAAAAAATTCGTCTTGGAAGTTTCATAATTTTTATGAAACCCATTGCAACCTAACAATATTTTTGCAGGTTCGATTTGTCAGTCATTAAAAGTCAAGAAAGTCTTTTATACATTTTACACTTTCTGCACTTATATGAATTTTCTTGTCAATATTTGAATTTGGTTGGTTTTCCATTTTGGAATTGTAAAAGTTTTACCTTTTTTTCAAAATCGCGGGAAACCTGAAAAAAATTTCGAAGTAATTTTTTTCAAAATTCGAAGTTTTTTCAAATTTTTATTCATTTTTTAAATTCTCTATTTTTAACAGTTTCAGTATTTCAATAGATTTCCTAGTTTTGTCAATATTTTAATTTTGTCGAGGGTTTGTCATCCATTTTTTGAATTTCAATTTTTTTCGAATTTTTAAAAATCTTCGCTCCTCTCAAGTTTTTAAAATAAAGTTCAGAATTTTCCGATTTTTTAAGGTTTGTGTTTTTAAAAAACATTCGTTTATCTGAATCTTCATATTTTTTAATTTTCAGTAATTGTATAGATTTCCTAATTTTGTTACTATTGCGATTTTGATCAGTTTCAGAATTTAAAAATTTTTCTTTGAGTTTTTTCAAAACCTAGGTTTTCTTACATTTTTTGATTTTTTTTTGTATTTTTTTCTGTATTTAAAAATCCAGTTTGGCTTCAAAAAAATATTTGAACCACTGTAACTTTGAGAACTTTAATTTCGATTTTCTCCGATTTTTCTGTAAATTCTAAAAAAATCAAAAAATGGAAACATTTTTCGGAAATTTAAAATTCAGATGTTCTACATTTTTTTACACTTTCAGTATTTCAATAGATTGTCTGACTTTGTCAATATTTTAGTGTTTCGTTGCTCGTTCTACATTTTTCAATTTAAATGATTTTTTTCAAAACTTCCTTTAAAACATTTGTGAAAAAGAAATTTCTGTCAGGTTACAGTATTTTAAGCTCATTTTTCGATTGTTTTCCGAAAAAAATCAATAATTACCTGCATGCATCAACTCCAAAGTGTTTGCCATTGCCACGAGCCAAACAGACTTCACATGGCGAAGCAGACATCATTATCGATAAAAAGTATTCGAGAGAAAACAAAATTTTTCTCTCGAATACTTTTTATCTTCTATTTGTCCGTTTTATCAAACAGGATGATGACATTTTGCTGACAAAACGCGAGAAATGAATTATTAAAAGAGATTTAGAGAGGAAAAGAAAAAAGGGAATTAGGTGAGTGATAGGAAAGACAGACAGGTGGTGGAAGGAAAACTGGTTTGTTTCCATGATGCAAAATTTTGACTTCTTTCCTTTTTTTTTTGGATAAGGTCAAAATGTAAGACATATTGATCAGGCATTTGATGATTATCGCTTAAAATGTCAAATACGAAATCAAAAATTGAAGATTTTCTTTGAAAAAAAAATTCAAGTGAATGCCAACAATTAAGAATTGAAGAGTATTTTGATAATAAAATAATAGTGGAACCGATGAAAATTGAAAGAAATAATTTAAAAAATGTATTGCGGTTTCAAAACTTCCATAAAAGTAACTAATAGTATGTAGTTATACTACTTATATGGTGGCATTACCTCGAAATAGAACGAGACGCAAAATAGAACTGCGTGAAAAAGAACTGATCTATAATTGAACTGTTCTGAAATAGAACTGCTCTTACATAGAACCGCGTGAAATAAAATTGTTCTGGAATAGAATTTCGTGAAATAGAACTGCTCTCGAATAGAGCTGTTATAAAGGAAAATAGAACTTTTAAAAACGGATATAAAAAATATATTACAAAAACGTGGACATAGATTTTAAAAAAGGAGTATACGTATCATAATCAACTCTTAGCGTAAACAAAAGATCTTAAAAGATTTAGATCAGACAAAGGGGCATAGGGAATTCGTGGCGTATTCTGCTCAGCTCGTAACAATCTCGCGTCTTTCTTTATATCTGATGTCCGTCTGGCTTTGTTGACCTAAAATTGATCCGATCGATTTTAATGAGAAAATAAGAAAGGCTCACTCGAAAGGTAGGGTTCAGAGCAATCTCGGCGGCGTCTTTTGACGTATGATTATCCTCGAATTTGAGATACGTTCTATTAGATCACACATTTTCAGTGGAGATTGTGAAAACGGATAAAAACATGAAAAAAACACGATATGTCGCTTGCAGCAATCATAGTTCTATTTTTCTCTATAGCAGTTCTATTTCAGAACAGTTCTAATTCACGCAGTTCTATTTCGCGTCTCGTTCTATTTTGGTACACTTCTATTTTTCTCACGTTCTATTTCGAGGTAGCGACGATATGTTTGTTGCGAATTTCAAAACTTTGAAAAAATTCCAGGAAATTCAAAAAATAAGAAATTCCAGATAATTCGGGAATATTAGCAATTTTCAAATTCCAGGACATTCCCATTTTTGAAAATTCCAGATTTTTGGAATTTTAGAAATGCAGAAACCCAACATTTAAGAATCTCTGAATTTTTATATTAGGTTGAGCGAAAAGTTTTTGTAATTTTTTTGGACCGTCATATCTCTGCTTTGATTTAACTTTTTATCATTCTGTTTTTCCTATATTGTAGTACCAGTTGTGCATGCTTAAAAGATTTGTTAAAGTTACCGACTGCGTTTATAAAGACCGAGAATTCGCCCAGAGACCACCATGCTCTCAGGGGTGTTTTTTTGTTCGGGTTTCTCCAAGGTCACAAATGCAGTGTAGCTTGTCGTAAATTGTGTACAGTGCTAGGCCACAACTACATGTCCTACACTACAATAAAGTTTTGGTTCAAAAGATTCTCCGAAGAGATCTACGATCTCGAAGGTCTGGCCTACCACGTGTTGATCTCAACGGGGATACCTCTAGAGCGCTAGAAGAAGAACCAAGAGCAACGTCACGCGAGTTTGCAGCAAGTCTCAACCATCCTCACAGAACCATAATTGATCATCTTCACGAATCTGGAAGGGTACCAAAGTTTGGTCAACTCGCCCCTCCCGTTTTGACGGATTCACTAAAACCATTGCGTTGTGAGTTGGCACATTCTCAGCTTACTATGAAACGTAGCACCAATTGGGTTGAGAATATTATCACTGGGGACGAGTAGAAAAAGACAAAGGGTCCCGACCGAGGAAACCGCTAAAACGGGCATCAAAGGAGAACTTCACGAGAAAAAGTTATATTTTCCATTTGGTGGGGCAGTGAAGGCGTTATCTTCAGAAGACTTCTTCTAGACGGCATCACTATCAATGAGGACCTCAACAGCACTCAAACGGAAATAGCATTCCAGGCTTATCGATTAAATTGCCCGAAAAATTCCAGCTTGTTGATGATTCATGACAACGCAAGACCACCCACTACTTTGAAGACCCGTCAGAAGCTCCAGATGCTCGAAGTCAAGATCTTCTGTCATCCATCGTATTCACCAGACCTGGCCCTAACTGAATAGCAAATAATCCGTTCCTTGAAAAATCTCCTTGTTAGGCAAAAGTTCCATGATAGAAAGGATGTAAAAAAAGTGGATGGATGACGTTTTCGCTGCCCAGTCTACCGAATTCTACGCTAATGGAACCGCTCCACTTCCATCGCATTGGCAAGTAATCATGTACACTGTTGGTGAATATATCACACATTGAATTCCGTGTTCTTTGAATAAATTTTGTCTCGAAAAAATTTAAAAAATTACAAAGACTTTTCGCTCAACCTAATAGAAAGTTCAAAATTCAAAAATTCAGAATTTTTTTGAATTGAATTTGTTAGACAAAAATGTCAAAAACAAGGAATATCACTAAATCAGAATTTCAAAATAATTATGAAGTTCTGAAGCGGAAAAGTTATATTCGAAAAACCAGGAAAAAATCAATATTCAAAAAGTACAATGAAACATTTAAAGGTATGGGGGGACCGGAGATTTTTCGTAGTTTTTTTGTAGCTAGAGTATGCATTCTACCGTCACGGTGTATAACGCTTAATGTCACTCTGCGTACAGCGGTCGTCCTCGCCTTTATGTTTACCACCGGAGGCGCGCTCTCTTTTCGCCCGCGTGGCTCAGTCATTAGCGGCGCCGCACCCTCAATCCTCGCCTCCACAAGTTCCACTCCTAGAGGGGCATATTTAAACGGACTTTTGGGAACATTTTTTTCATGTCCCTCCACCTTTAAATCAGAAAAACAACTGGAGTGACTTGATTATTGTGGATAGCTCGTCGGAAGAAATCTGAAAATTCGTTTTTCGGAAATTTTTCGGAAATTTGAAAATTCGTTTTTCGGAAAGGACCCAGGACCCAGGACCCAGGACCCAGGACCCAGGACCCCGAGCCCCGAGCCCCGAGCCCCGAGCCCCGAGCCCCGAGCCCCGAGCCCCGAGCCCCGAGCCCCGAGCCCCGAGCCCCGAGCCCCGAGCCCCGAGCCCCGAGCCCCGAGCCCCGAGCCCCGAGCCCCGAGCCCCGAGCCCCGAGCCCCGAGCCCCGAGCCCCGAGGCTTCGGGCTCCCCTCGCTGAAGCCCAGCGCAAGGGAGAACTGATTGTTCTT